TAAATAGAAAAACACTAGTATTGTCATTTTGCTTGCTTCACTATTGCGGTTACTAAGTGACAGTGAGCTATGTTGTATTTGGAAAGAGGCTTCAAATTGTAGTCGAGATGGGAGGAGACTTAGGGTTCCTCAAGAAAAAGGGAGTAAGCAAGCAAAGGAGGTGGAATTGATACGTTAATTTACTTATTTAACCACTGTTTCTAGTGCCTGCCCCCCTAATATGTGGGGTGTTTTAGACTTTGGGAGTACAGATGAGTTCATGACGGACAAAAGTCCTCGCTCTCTTGCAACTTATATTCTAGTGATGAAAGAACATTTACAGATTGCCACAAGTGTGGTGTAGAAATAACAGGAATGGTGAGTCCCTGGGGTGGGCGGGGCACTTGTGGGTGATGAGGAGCACAGAAGAAAAGAGAGGGAGACCACTTGCAAACTTTGTATGTCCCTAGGATATTTTGAGAATTATAAATGTTGTTTGTGGGAAGCTTGTAGAGGCAGGAAATTTGTTGGGAACTGCTGATTCCGCACATGAGAATACTGAGGCACAGGTTTAAAAATGGATAAATTTTAACAATTCACCCAGGGTTGTAACTCATTTGTGAATGAGCTGGGACTGGAATCCAGTTTTCCTAGTTCCTGTTCACATTCATTCATTGTTTCTTTTCCATGGTTTTTTTCAAGTAAACGTTTTTAGCCCCTCAGTCTGTGCCTTGCCAAAATAGTGTTTCATTGCCATATGGTGGATTGGAGGAAAGTCTTAAGGAGCTGCTTTCAGATGGGATGGGAGAAGTCTATGAGAAGCACGCACAACCTTTCTTAGAGTAGTTGGAATTAAATGGTTCAGAGACCTTGTGAATGAGCAAGATCATTTACTTCCTATAAACCATATGTTCTTAAAAATTGAACATTGTGCTGGGTTGGATTGAGGAGAACATTTTGCTTTGAAGCCTAAGAATTTTATTTTAATAGAGCTAAGGTTTCACCACATGAGGAAAATTGAAGTTGGCACCCTGGGTTGATTAGGAGATGAGGAGCTTGGTGGTTGGAATGGTGAATCTGTACTCACTTCTGTGAATCCTATGGTGATGTGAACAGCCAGGCTGATGTTGTTCAGTTAGGTTGGTGCCATGTGTGTCTACCTGATGACCCATCCCAGGGGGCATTCTCTATCTGCATACCTCAGTGGCCCAGGCTCATGGTTTTTATTTGTGGTTCATTTTAGGGTTAGTGGATTGAGGCCTTGGCAGCATTCCTCAGTCCATTGCAATGTAGAGCAGAGGTTGGCCGGACAGTAAATAACTTAGGCTTTGCAGGACATACAGTTTCTGATATAATTACAGATCTGCCTTTAGCACGAAAGCAGCCATGGGCACTATGTAAATGCATGAGCTAGCTGTGTTCCAATAAAACTTTATTTGCACAAACAGGTATTGAGGCAGATGGCTCACGAGCCCTTGTTTGCTAGACTCCTGCTGTAGAATGGTGAGGTAAGGTAATGGGACAAGTTGAGCTCCCCTAATAAACAAGAAATATTTTTTTTTGGTTGTTAAAGATTTTATTTATCTGAGAGAGAGAGTGCACACAAGCAAAGGGAGGGGCAGAGGGAAAGAGGGAGAAGCAGACTCCCCACTGGGCAGGGAGCTCGACATGGGGCTCTATCCCAGGACCCTGAGATCATGACCTGAGTCGAAGGCAGACACTTAACCAACTGAGCCCCAACATGGCAGCCCCAGATGCCCCAACAAGAAATATTTTTGGTCCTCCATCTTTCTTTTAAAACTTTTGGGTTCTGTGAAATTACCATGAAATGAATGTGGCCATTGCAGCAGTCTACAATTTGACCTTGACATACTAAAGTCAAACAAAATGTATTGATATTTTCCTAGAGTTACATTCTTGTTAGGTAGCTTTACCCTTTTTTTGGACAGAAGAAAATTTTTTATTTCAGAAGCTCTTCAGAGGGAGTTGCTCCATGTTTCATACTGTAAGCACTTCAATTGGAATTTAAACAAGACAAGGAGTTACTGAGATGCTCCTTTTTAATCAGGCAAAACTGAAAATAGGGGCGCCTGGATGGCTCAGTCGTGGGGCATCTGCCTTCGGCTCAGGTCATGATCCTAGGGTCCTGGGATCGAGCCCCGCATCGGACTCCCTGCTCTGCGGGGAGCCTGCTTCTCCCTCTCCCACTCCCCCTGCTTGTGTTCCCTCTCTCACTGTGTCTCTCTCTCTGTCAAATAAATAAAATCTTTTAAAAACAAAAAACAAAAAAAAACTGAAATTAAAATTTATGATTTGGGTAGCTAATCAGAAGACTGTAATCCATCAAAGTTTGGGTTTTTTAAAAAACCTTACCCTCATCTTTATTTGGAAAAACTATTTGTCTGCCTTATCATAAGTTAATTGGTACAACACCAGGTCAAAAAATGACATTGTTAATGAAATGAAATATTACCCTGCTGTTACTAATGAGGCTTCTGCAGAAATATGGAAGTGTCTGTGAATTAAGGAAATGTGAGAAGAATTTAGTCTCCATGTTGATTAGAACTATACAAAAATACGTTTGTATAAAATTGTAAGGAGAAATTGCCATAGACTTTTTACCTGGTTAGTGTTAATGTGAAGTGATTTGGGCCCCTGTTTTTATTGTAGGTAGGAAATGTCTGTTTTCTCATAAAGCTGGTTAAATACATAAGTACAGTTTTCAGTAGGAATTTAAAAAATCCCTAATGAGCTACAGTGTGAGATGAAAGTAAAAATTTTATTTCTCAACCTTAAACTAATACTTAGTGCATTCACAGCATTTTAACAGAATTCGGGTCAGAAAGAAAATTTATAGGAATGGTGGGTTTTCTTTGGTTACTGGAGTGCACGCTTAAAATGATTCTCCATTATTCTTTTCACTTGATCGGAAATGAGCCACCGGAAGGTAGCCTTAAGTTCACTCCTGCACTTGGTGATCTCTTTGCCTGCATCCCTTCAATTATGTCTTTGAGGAGAACTGTCCCTTTTCCTTGCCGAGGTGTCCTGTGGCATCCTCTGCCTGTCCCCCGATTTTTTCTGCCAGTGTTACTTCCCTTGCATCAGGCTCTTCCATTTACTAGCTGCCGTGTCCTCTCAGAGTCCTGGCATCTCTCAGAGGCCCCAATTTCCAAATCGGTAAACCTTCTTTGTGCTTTTTTTTTTTTTTCCCAGTGAAGATTAAATATATAACAATAAAACACTAGACCAGTAGTGGGCTCACAGCAGTTACACAATAAATCAGACTTGGCACTGTTGTTATTTAAAACAACATGTTACATTTTGTCCTTTTGACTGGTTCCTTCCCCTTTAACTACTAACCTGTTCGCCTTGCGTTCTCTGCCTCCTAAGACTTTCTGCTCAAGCTCGTTTGCCCCTCAGGCTCTCGTGCTTTTTCTTTGCCTCCACTGCTGTCACGCCTCTACCACGGAAAGTGGCCGTCTAGCTTCTAGCCCCATCCTGCTGTGTGGCCCATACAGCCCCCATACTGTGGCATTTGCTTTTTCATCGTCTACCCTGTCAATCTGGAGTCTGCGTCTTCCCCGGCTGTCTGTGACAAGGTGGGCCTGATTTTCCTTGTACTGTTTGACTACCTTTTCTGTTTGCCTCTCTGACTTCAGGGTCCCTTGTGGGCCCCCACATGGTCGTGTTCCCTAAGGTTCTGTTGCTCTCTTCTCCCCCTGCAGCCTCCCTCCACAGTTGTCCCTGTTCCTGGGCTTCACACAGCCCTCCTGTGCAGGTGATTCTTAAATGGGTAATTCTAACCCGCCCTGCTATTTTGAGCTTAAGCTTTACATCCTGAGAGGTCAGCCTTGAGGAGCTGTGGGCAACTCCAGCTCAGCATGGCAAATTCATCTTTTTATTGTTCCCGACCAGCTTCTGCAGATTCCCTGCAGCTGTGAGTAACATGCCGTTTTCCCAGCCTCCATATTTTGGGGCCCCTCCTTTGCCACATCTCTGCCTCGCTCTCCGCGTTACCGTAGCTGTGTCTTCTCACGTTTACCCTGTAAAATATCTTCGCTTCCAAAGTTCTTTTGTATATACATACGGAAAGAGAGAGATCGGGAAAGAAGTTCACCAGAGTGTTTAAAGTCTGATCTCTGGGTGGTGGGATTTTACACTGTCTGAATTTTGTTTTCTTAACAGGTACTTAGTATTTATATGCTTGCACCCAGCCTTTTACCCCTCAGCCCTCCTGTGTCCGGATCGTGACCCAGTGGAACTCCTCCTCGTCATTCCCTCGGTGCACTCATACTTTCTTGCCTTTGTTCCTTTACTCAGAGCTTGTTTCATCGGTTCTTTGCATCTCCCGTTGTCACTCTTCAGGGCTCCTCTCAAATAAACTTTTCTTTAATGCATTCATTTTCCCAACTGAATGTGCCTTCCTTCACAAGCTCTGCGGTCTCTGTGTCACTTCCTTTGTTCTGCCCTCTGGTCTTCCGAGGTGGCTTTTTATGTTAACTCCTTTATTAGATTGTAAGCTCCAAGAGAGCAGAGATTGGGTCTTACTCATCCTTTCCCCCTTTTGGTTATAATCTCCCTATTTTTCTCTGGGCACAACCCCTTTTCCCACTGGCCATGGTTCTGGTGGGATGGTCAGTCCAAGTGCCCTGCCAAGAGGATGGGATGCTCTTCCCCTGGAATTTGGATTTTGAGTCATGGGATACAAGGACTGACAGTGATTGGCGTGGATTCATCCTGGCCAAGGTGCTCTGAAGAAGCCATTTCTTAGTTCCTGCTTCCCAGATCCCTGCAGCTGCTCTGGTTCCTGAACGCTCCGAGGCCTGGTTCTTCAGATTGTCCTTCGTATCTGTGAGCTATCTCGTATCCTTACACTAAATGTCTCTCTCTTTAAATTTTAAGTTAGCTAGACAGTTTCTGTTGCTTTTTTCCCTGCCAATAGAGCTGTTATGATTGGAACTGACCAGACTTAATCGTTGTAGTTCTTATATTGATTCTGATATGTTTTTTTCTTCTCTTTAAAAATGAAAACAAAAAAACAGCCAGAGACTGCTGCTGCCTTGAAACGTACGGTAGAAGCCCTGATGGACAGAGGGGCGATAGTGAGGAACTTGGAGAATCTGGGTGACCGAACACTGCCTTATAAGATTTCCGCCCACAGTCAGCGGCACAGTAGAGGAGGGTAAGTTTCTTCATGAACCTCGACAAATGTCTTTGATAGGCTGTAAAGAATACTGTTTAGTTCATCTTAGAAATGATTTTTTTTTTTTATTGAAGATTTTATTTATTTGAGAGAAAGAGAGAGAGAGAGAGCATGAGAGGGGGGAGGATCAGAGGGAGAAGCAGACTCCCCGCTGAGCAGGGAGCCCGATGTGGGACTCGATCCCGGGACTCCAGGATCATGACCTGAGCCGAAGGCAGTCGCTTAACCAACTGAGCCACCCAGGCGCCCCCATCTTAGAAATGATTTTAATTTCTCAGTAGATCTCTGTTGCGCCAGGTGGTGTGTGGGTACATACTCTAGCGGTGGTGTGATTTAAATGGGCTCCAGTAAAGCTGGCCCATAATAAACCATAATCAGAGTACAAAAACAAGTCATGTGAGGAGCAACAGGTGTGTAAGCTTTTGATTGCAGGAAACTTTTCTTTTTTTTTTTAAGATTTTATTTATTTATTTGAGAGAGCACGAGAGGGGGGAGGTCAGAGGGTGAGGCAGGCTCCCTGCTGAGTGGGGAACCTAATGCAGGACTCGATCCTGGGACTCCAGGATCATGACCTGAGCTGAAGGCAGTCAGTCGCTCAACCAACTGAGCCACCCAGGTGCCCTGCGGGAAACTTTTCTTGTCAACCTAAGCACAGTTTTCCCTTGACATTTCTTCAGCTTTGCCTTTAAAATGCCTCAGTGAGCAATGTGCTGTTCACATACTCAGTGCATCCTTTGTAAATAATGTGGGTTGCAGATAACAAGCAAAAGGTACTTTGAGTAATGTTGTGTAACCAGCACCTGACCCACAATAGAGAAATGGTTTTATGTACTCCAGACAATAATCACAATCCTGTGTTACGAAATTTTTTCTCACAAAAGTATATAGCGCTTTCCTCAAACATATTGAAGATTTGACTCTGTGCTAATAACTATCCTTGTAGAAATTCTTTGATACCAGTTTGCTTGTTGAGTTGATCTGAAGCTTCTCTGACCCCCAGTGATATTATTTTTACCCTCATGATTTCTGGTTTGGAGGAGAAATCTTCTGATACTGTTGAGTTTCCTAGAAGTAGTGATAGAGAAGATGGAAATGAGTTTTTAGTAGTGGGAAAGTCTGGGTGTTGAAGACTCCATTCTCTCTCCAGTACTTGCCAGCAGTGTGGCCTTTCACCCAGTCTTTAGCTTCTCCGATTCCTGCTTCTTTGGATACTGAACTCAGGTGGCCATCCTCCCACCCACGTTGTCGTGGGGATCCGATGAGATCATCTCTCGGTGTGCTCTCCGGACAGTGCGGAGCGTGGATGGTGCCGCTTTCACCCACGCGGAGCTGGGGTCTTGCGCCAGTGCTACCCGTGGGAGAGGCCTGTGTGCGGTCACGCCTCGCACTGAGGCGTTCTTCCTGCATTTAAGCCTCTGCCGAGGTGCGGCACATACTGCACATTTCATCTTTTGATTGCTTCACCTTGTTTTGTGCTGGTGTTCAGCTTCTTCAGAACACCTCTGAAGAGAGTGCCCGCGGCGTTGCTAGGCAACATGAAATGCATAGTGGCGATTCCTCTGCCACAGTCGTAACAGAGAGGGATGGAGATTGTGTGTGTAACATTTTTTTTTAACTTAACCACAAAGGGGTTTCATTTTAACAGCAAGGCTATGAGTCCTTTTGCCTTTTTGTTTAGAGAGGAGCGTATAAAATTCAGCTAAGGATTGTTAGCCAGGTTCTCGGTTGGAAAGCACTGAACAGGGAGGGAAGCCTGTTCCCTCATTCATGTGCTTTCAGGGATGTGCACTAGGAGTGCTTTCTTCTGTCCCCTTTCCAAGTGGAATTTGTTGAGGGTGGTGTGACCAGCATTCTAGAATTTGCACTTCTCGCAAGTGCTTGGGTATTGCTGATCCTGCTGTCCGGGGACCACACTTTGAGAACCGCTGTATTAACTCCTTAGTTGTCAGGCCTCTGTGTGCAGTACTGGGGTTGGGTGGTGCTGTTTTTCTTTTGTGGATGGAGTAAATTCAGATCCTGGAAGAACTCCCCTGGAACTAAGCCCGAACTGCTGACTTAGCCCCACGTTCCGGATTCCTGACAAGGTGCATGTGCCCCACCAAGGACTCTTGCTGTCACTTCGTTCATTTACATTTAATGATTTTATCTCTGGTTCTGTTACTCTCAGACTCCTCAGCAAAGGAGGAGCAACATTTGTAGAGTGTAATATATGTGTGTATTGTATAGAGACACAGAACCTCCCTCCCAGTTGGGGAGGTTCATGGTTTAAGCTTGTTTTTCTGGTACTAATCAGTGTGTTGTATGTATTTGTTTAAGGTAGGGTTTTCCAAAGTGTGGTCTCTGAAATACTAGTTATACAGTTATGCTCCACCAAAAAATGGTGTGTGTGTGTGTGTGTGAGAGAGAGAGAGAGGGAGAGTGCAAGCATTTAGATGTGGGATCCCTTCTAGAGATGCGCAGCATACGTGAGTGTAATAATGGTGAGAAGCCTTGCAGTAAGTTGCCTTCATTTATCAACTTTATTTGACGGTTACCTTTTATTTTTGTAACACTCATTAATATTCTTCACAGTGACTTTTGGTAAAAGTGGAGATGAGGGGCTAATGTATTTTGGAGTTGCCGGGGTAAAGATTTAAACTTGAGTGGTGTGTCATATGTCTGTAGTGTGGAACTTAAGGATAGTCTGATATTCTCTTGACTTCCACCAGTCCTCCCCTCGGGTCACTACCCCCGGTGATGTTTGTACCAGGCTTTTTGTTCATTTGGTAAGGTCTGTGTGTGCGTTGCACATAGCCACATAGGGTGTTACAAACATGTATTAAGTAGATTATGTGCCAGGATTATGTGCTGGGTGCTGGAAAGGCTCAATTTTTCCAAGTGATTAAGAAGAAATAGTGGACTTGTTTGTTACGAACTTAGCATTTGAAAGTTTTTAACTCTTGGAACATCCCTGGAGGCATGGCATGTATCTCTAATTTTGGTGAGGCGCTGGTTTGAATCCTGAGGTTGGTATGTGAGAGCCAGTTCTTTTAGCTGGCTAACGACTGAGCCTAGATGCCCTCCGAGAATCCACATCACATTGTGGTACTGTTGGTATTACGTGTTTGTTTCTCTTACATTTTATGGGAGGAAATGTATATCCTGGTGGTATTCCTAGGTCTCGGGATGGTTCTTGTGATTGTTGTGGTTCCTGGTCACGGGGAGTTTTCAGCTGAATCAGGGACTTGCCTGCACACTGCTAACCTAGGCACCAGCCAAAGAGATACAAGGGCAGGGGCCTAGCACAGCAGTGTTCACCTGGCCTGGCTGGCAACCAGTCTCTGCTACAGTTACTTCCCATCTTTTGGGTGATTGTCTCTGTCATTCTCCATCCTCGCCTCCTTCCCCCAAATCCCTACCGCTGGTGCACACGTGCCAGATGGGCCCAAAAGAAAGATGTGTGGGTAGAAAAACGCATAGGTAAGAGACATACTGCTGCCTCAGGGTTACCTGGGGGTCTCCCCAGGGGAGGAGGCAGCACCTGGTATTTATTATTATATCAAGTCTATGACCAAGATATGCCAAAAAATCAAGTACGCTTGTTGTATTCCAAATATTAGTCAAGTTGTCCCCCAGGTGATGTGAATTAGACCAGGAAGGAGTTAACCAGATGCCCCCGTTGCTCTTTGGGCCATGTTGGGGTGGTTGGGAAGCTTGGGTCTTCTGGACCAGATTTCTAGATGGAGGCTCTGGCCTTAACTCACCACCTGTTGTCTCCAGCAGTGTCTGGAAACGATTGGAGCCTGACTCAGAGTTGAGGAGGCAGCTGGGGGTAGGTCTTACAAGTTCTGAGATGCATTCTCAGCTCTGGATTTGCTTTGGTCTCCTGGGGGCCCATAGAATTTCTCTACTTAGTACCTTCAGATGCTCACCTTTATCAACTCTGAGCAAGGGAAGGTTGGTGTAGAAGATTCTTACTGTATTCCTCAGAGTCTAAAAGGTGGTGATGTGACATATGCAGAGGGGAGCAGTGGTGGGGTTGCTAAAAAGGGTCAGGCATTTTCTGAGTTGTGTTATCAGGCTGCCAGAAGCACTCCGGTGTCAGACGCCAGGGCTGCACATAGTGTAAGGCTGTCTTTCCACTAGATGGGGCTGGACTGAGACTGAGCAGGCTTTTGGTGGAGGAGAGAGAACTGTAGAACAGACTGTGGTCCATATTTCAGTTTTGGGCTGGTGTTTGTTTGGAAAAGGATGCCCCCGATGGGCTTTGACCGTTCTTACCAGGTCTGATTTTACTGCAGTGAGATAGGACTTACTCCAGAAGGCGTGTGTAAAGGAACTCTGACGTGGTGAGGGAGGTTTTTCTTGCCTGTTTTGTCCCTTCTTTCTTCGTTCTCATCTGTATTAAAATGTGAATAGGTGCTTATAAGATCTGCTGGCCTACATATAAGATGCCCTTCTATTTACGGGTAAGCAGAATGATAAAAATAACCGGCTCTGTGGTGAATCAGTGGAATTTTACTGACTCGCTCCCCAAATGTGTCTGCAGCTTACTCCAAGAGAGCTGGCACCCTCTCTAGAGGAGATTGATTCTTCTCTGTAGTTTTCCTGTTAGCTAACATTTCCATGTTCTTGTGCTTTCCTGCCAGCATTAAGTCCAGGCCAGCATCCTGGCCCCATTCTTGTGTGAAGGTGCTCCACAACTGGGTTTCAAGGCAGAACTGTTGTGGCCTTGGAGGTTTCTTTTTTAGGGGCAGCATCTCAAGATTTGTAAGGATTCTGCACTAGGTTTAGTGGTTTTAAAAATGTATGAGACACAACAGATATAAAAAGAATAGGGCTTTTCCATGCAGAGGGTTCCTTGGTTTTAAGGTGAAGAATTCAGTGTCTCAGTGAAGCCTGAATCCAGCAAGGTTTAACTGAAACAGTCTAGAAACTGGCATTCAGATGGATCTGTTTCCGAGCCTCCGAAAGGCTCGAAGATGCTCCATGGTTTCAAA